TTCTCCCAGTTCAACGAGGACGACTTCTGTCTCTGAAGATTTGCCAATTCTGGACATTTCACATAAATGGAATCGTACAGTGTGTGGCCAATCATGTCTGGCTTCTTTCACTCAGCATCATATTTTCAAGGTCCGTCCATGCAGCATGAATCAGGATTTCTGTCTTTTCCCGGCTGAATCATATTCCACTGTGGTCATGATGGTTTTAAAGACAGGTCTCATTCTCTTCAAGCAGAAACCCAGGCCCCAGAAGAGGGTTTGTGGGGTGGTGGGGGAATGGGGAGCCCCTATGAATGGCCCTGTGTACCTGGTCCCCTGACCCGTGGTTGCTCCCAGCTCTGCCTAGAGGCTGCGCAGGAGCTGGAGGGAGGCTGGGACAGCACTGCCCCTACAGCGGGCGCTCTGGGAGGGTCCGGGTGTGAGCAAGGCCACAGGCTGTGGTGGTCAGCTCCTCCCTGCCAACCCAGACGGGCCCCTGCTGAGTGGCTGTCGGCCTGGCTGGCTGGTGCAGAGGCAGATAGGCTTGGAGAGCGGGGGACAGGGCAGCTGTGGAGTTGTCTGCGGTCAGCAGGACCCGGTCAGCCTGCTGGGTCTCATGCTCGGCCAGGCTGGATCGTGCGCACCGCGGGGGTGACTCCCCAGGGCTGACTGTGGCAGAGCCCTCCAGGCAGCAGCCCTCATCAGACCCCTGTGGGCCCTCAAATGGCCAGGCGGCCTCCGGACAGAATCAAGGTGAAGGAGACCAAGAGAAGACCGCTCACTCTGTCTGCTTGCTCGAGGCACAAGCTCCTGAAAGCCCCACACAATTTCCTGGGATTCTCTCCTAAAGAAGATGCCCAGGGCCGGCTCTGCCCAGACCCACCGGATCAGAATTCCTGGCACCTGGAATCTGCATTTTGAGGGTTCTTTAGGGATGCACTGGGTTTGAGAGCCCCTGGTAGAGTGCTAAGAGGTTTGGGAGCGAGAGAGCCCCACTTTAGTGGGGCTGCTTGATTCTCAGCAAGTTACAGACATTCTCTGTGCCTCAGTTTCCTGATTTCTAAAATGGATATAATAACTGTCATCTCAGGGTTGATTTGTGAGGATTCAATGAGGCAACAAGAAACTGCTCAGAAATTGTTAGCTGTAATTAGTAGTATATTATTATTACACATATGATCCAAATCAGAACTGTCTGGATATTGAAAGACAGTGGGGAAAGGAAGCATTAATAAATGAGAGAGAGGGGGTGGTTTAAGATCTGGAGAGTTAGCCTTGTGTTGGGGGAGCGGATCTGGCTTTGAATCCCACCATTCGGGCTGTCATTTTCCCCCTCAGTTTCCCCATCTGTGCGAGGGTGATGGTAAGAGCTGCCCTCGCTGGTGGGCTCTGCAAACTGTAATGAGCTGTCCTGTGTCAGGGAGAGGAACCTGCTGCGAGGAGGGCAGAGGCCTGACGCTGATGCAGACTGACCACTTGTGTCTGGGCCGGGCCAGCTGGCCGGGGTGGCTTCTGTCCTCCCAGCACCTGGGGCCCCGGGCCCCATCCTGTCCGCTCAGGCTGGACTGGTTCCTCAGGCCCCAACCAGCAGGGGGCAAGTGGGGCCAAATGGCCCTGTGACAAGAACCCATCTTTCAGGCCCCATCCCATCAGTGTATCATGTGACCCCTTGCCAGGCAGGCCTCTCTCTGTTCCAGGTCGGGGGACGGGGCTCAGGCATTGAGCTGGGTGCTGAGGTCATGATTAGCACAGCCGGCTGGGCCCTCTGTCTGTCTCTCCTGCCTCTGCCCGAGCCTAGGCCATCCTCCCTTCTCTCCTGGATGACTGTGGCTGCCTCCCCTTTGAGTTACCTGTCTTTGTCCTGGCCTGGGCCACCCCTGTGCCTGAGGGACGCTGTTGAAACTGGAAGCTTATCTACCGCGACCCTCCCTAGAGCCTTCTGTGGCTCCCAGTGACCTCGCCGGCCCTGCCTCTCCACTCCCAGCTTGACCTTCACCCTTTAGGCACCTCAGTGGAGCCAGTTATTTACTCGACAAGTATTTACTGAGCTCTGACCAAGTGTGAGACCCCACACCAGGCAACGGGAACTGAGAGGGGCCCAGATGGGTACCTGGCAGCCCCTTCACCCACTGGTCTGTCCCATGTCCCCTGGGGGACAGTGAACGCTGCTCGTTGTGCACACAGAGCCAGCCTGCTCTCCCTCCGCCTTCCTCTTGCAAGGTCCCATGTCTCAGTCTCTGAGTGACAGTCTGGTAAGGGATGACAGTGTCCAGGGCACCCCCACGAGAAGGGCTGGAACAGCAGGATAGTTCCGATGTCAGAGGCGCCCTGGGGTGGGTTTGGCAGGCAGACGGGGGGGATTCACTCCACCTCCGCCCTGGCTGTGAACCACTATCAATTCAACCTTTGGAGGCTCAGTTTCCTCACCTGTGAAATGGGCGTGATGGTGCCTGTGAAACAGGCTGCTGTGGGTAAAGGCTCAACATGGGGCCCAGCACAGAGGCCCGCTTGATTTGATGCTGCTGTCTCTGTGGAACCCAATTCGCTGGTGGGAGCTCCATAGGCCACCAGAATGGCTGCCTGGCTCCCTGGTGGGACTGAGTCCCAGTTCCCCCGAGACTCCCCTTTCCAGCCTCAAGACCACTGGCACGACCCTTCTGCTCGGAATGCCAGGCAGCGGACAAGGTGTGGCTTTGGAGATGTTCCTATCCTGATGACACACTGAGTCCCCAGTGGGGGATGCTGGGGTCTGAGGGGGTCACACTGGCTGGGAGCCCACCACGGGCTGGGCACCAGCCAGGCGCCTCCCCTACAGTGTGTATCCGCCCGCAGCAGTGCAAGGGGTTTATGGCATTCTGCCATTTCCACGTGGGGAACTGGGGCTCTAAGGGTTGAACTTGTCCTCAGCCTCGGAGCTGGCAGCTTCTCTGCACTGGCTGGACCCCAAGGCCTGTGCTCCTGACATGGTGAAGTGGGACAGTCCAGCCCCAGGTCCCACCCCCACAGGACGGCCGTGCACGTCCACGGATGCTGACAGTGCTGCAGCCTCCTGCCTCCTGCCTGTACCCGACCACGCCAACACCCCTTCCCACCCCAGGATCCTCGTGGCCATTATAAAGATAAGCAAACTGAGGCATGCTCAGATGGGACTTGCGGGACCAGGCAGGTGTGGAGGCCTCCTCTGCCCCGACTGCTGTGGCTTCCGGGCTCCTTTCCTGGGTTTTTCCTGGAGACACAAACTTTCATCCCAAACGGGTTATTCAGCGACTGCTGAGTAGATAACAAGTGTCGGTCAGCGTGGTGACTGCCCTTACGTGTGGCATCACACTGCACCCACCCCCAGTGCCACACACCCAGGACCTCAGTTACAGACTGGGGCAGACTTAAGGGGCTGCATTCTTTGCCCCCATTTCCAGATGAGGAAACGGAGGCTTCAGGAGGGAGGGTCGTGGTGTGCTGGTGAATGGCTGGGCCCTGGCTCTTCCAGGTGGGGTGGGGACGAACATGCCCTCGGTTGTAGCGTCCGCTGAGTCTGGGGGCTTCAAGCCACCCGTGGTTTATCAACCAGCTCACACAATTCCTGACATGAGACAGCTCCAGCTCACCCTGGGCAAGGGGAGTCCCCAGGTCCACGCTGGCAGGAACGCCGAATCAGGACTAAGCCCCAGCCTTCAGCCTCTGGGTGAGACTCTCCCCACAACCCGACTGCTGGCCGGCCGAGGGCAGCGTGGCCCCTGGGAACCCCAAGACTCATCAGCAGGACCCTCGCCCTCCCTTGCAGCCCCACCCCAGGCCGGTCCAGCCTCGCAGACAGCAGGACCAGACCCACTGCTCGTCCCCAGCTGTGAGCCACCATCACCCCAGTGGGGAACGCGGGGGCCTGGCTTCAGAAAACACAACTTACTGCCTGGGGAAAAAAACCTGGGTGATGTTCTTGGTGCTACGTGAGTCTG